ATGTGTCAGGGGTTCTTCCCGGCACCGGCACACGAATAGAAAAGAGTTCAAGGGCTTCGCTCCACTCCCACTTGAAACCGGGAATTTTTGAGTTAATGCGGCGCGCCGCATTTCTTGCTGCACTCCAGATGGTGGCAAAGGAGTTTGGAGCCGAGTCTGTCACATCCCCTGACAGGTAGGCTGCCAGGCGCTGCTTACTTGGGTTGTTGACCACTCTGGAGGCCGAGCGCATCAGGCTGGCTTCCGCGATCCCACGGACAAGAGGGTCTGGGCTGGTCAGGACTTTGAAGGCTTTTGCGACGGCCCCTACATCCGCGAGCTCGGAGAGAGGCATGATGTTTGCCCCACCCTTCTGTGTTGGTAGGTAGATTATCTCGTTTGAAGCACGAGCAGGTAGGTGCAGGGCCTTTTTCACAAAGCGTTTAATTTCTTGATCTAGTTGTGTGAAGCATGTCTTCTTAATACGGGATGTTTGCAGGACAAAAGTTGCTTGAGGCAGGATAAAAGTTCTGACGGCATCAAGTTTTTGCCAGTCCGTTAGCAGTGAATTTTCAACATGGCTGAGGTCTTTGAGCATTTGTTCAATGGTAGCTTCGGGAGTTTGGTCAACGTACAAGCCTGTTGGCACGCCGAGATGTTGGTAAGCTTCTTCTTGGTTAAGTGAAGGAATAGACTGACCCTGGACCGTGGTGTTAACAATGTTTGCTCTTTTCTTACAGATAGAGAGTGTGGCGCACTTCTTGGCGTTGAATTGGAGCCCAACCCATGTGGCGACTTCAACAACAACGTCAAGCATGCACTGGATGGCCTGACGGCTTTTACCAAGTAAGACAATGTCGTCAGCGAAGGCAAGGCAGGAGAGTGTCTTGTCGTGCAGCTGGAAACCATAGAGTGGGGCAATAGCCAGTACACTTCGAAGAATAACCTCAATGAAAAGATTGAATATAATTGGGCTCAGAGGGTCCCCTTGTTTGACACCCGAAGCCATGGGGATTGCTCTTGTCTCACCCGAAGATGTGACGATGGTGGTTGAGCTATTGGAGTATGCTTCCTCTACAATGTCCACGAAGTCTTGGTGCACCCCGTGTTGCCGATGAAGAGCTAGGATGGCAGAATGAGGCACCGAACCAAAGGCGTTCTTGAGATCAAGCCATGACACGCAGAGCTCTGAACCGGACTCCCTGGCATAGTCGAGACACTGCTGAAGAAGAAAATTATGTTCTAAGCACCCCTCTGCTGGAACAAACCCCTTCTGGATGGAAGAAAGGGCCCCCGTCCGAAGAGCCCATGTGGAGAGGCGGTCTGCGAGGACAGCAGTGTAGAGCTTGTACAAGCAGGAGGACAATGCAATGGGTCGCCAGTTACTAAGGTCAGTCATTTCACCCTTCTTGTAGATTAAGACAGTTTTGGCAGTCTTCCAAGAGGCAGGAATTCTCTTAAAAGACATGCAGATCTTGAAGACTTCCGCGAGGATGTGGCAGCCAGAGTCCTTGCGTTTGAGGGAGGCATAGGGGACCCCATCCGGGCCTGGTGCTGTGTTAGCGCAGCGCCGCAATCTGTCCATGATGTTTTCTCTGGTGATGGGGGCCACAAGACGCACGTCTTCAGGTAAAGTGGGTGGCAGCACTGCAGACACTGGTGGGTCCTCAAGATGTGGTAGCCTGGCTGCAAACACCCGCTCGAAAAAAGACTCGACTTCCTCAGGCGGAAGACTGCATAGTGGGGAGTCCTCCTCCCGTACCTCACGCATGGCTCTCTTTTTGTTCACTTTATACAGGAATTGTAGACGACGAGCAGCATTCTGCGGCCTACGCCCCCCACCCCGGCCCCGGCCCCGCCCCTGGTGACCACGGTTCCTGGCAGGTGGTAGCAGATCTGAGGTAAGCCCTTCTACAGCAAGTTCAAACGCAGCCCAGTCCTCTGCTTCCTGTAGCTTGCGTATCCAACGCCGTTGGAATGCGTTGGCACGCGGCCCCCGTGGTGAGCCGGATTGGGATGGAGCAGGTGAAACAATACAGGCAAACAGGTCCTTAGGGCTAGAAATGGGCGGAGACCTTACCGGGGCGGTGGGCAGTGGTGGCGTGGCGGGTGAGGCTGACGAGGCTGATATCGGCGGCGTGAGGACGCGCCGAGGCTCCCGGACCGCGAAGATGGACTGCGGCCTGGGTGTGAGATGTGGTGATGCGGATGGCCCCGGAGCAGCGGTAGTTCCTGTGGAGTGAGAGGAGGGCAGTGAACTGTCCTTGACACTCGAGAGGTTGGAAAAAACAGGAGCTACTTGCCTGGGGGCAGCATCCGCGCTGTGTATCATGGCCAAACCCGGGGCGTGTAGGACCGTGTCTCCGCCCGAGGGCATCGTAGACAGGACCCTTACCCCGAGAGCCTCTGCGACCGCACCCGGGTCGTGGCAAGCCATCGGATCCCAGGGCGACGACGGGGTGGTGGTGG